TTTGGCACAAAGTCGTAAAAATGATTTTTTAAATGTTTTTTTTTTGTTATTTACATATATCGATTATACGAGCATTAACCAAAAAAATCGTACAAATTAAACACTGGTTGAAAAGTGGAACTGTTAAATGTCAAATTTGGTCTTAAAAATGTTACACACTTAATTATTATTGTTGTTAAAAATGGGTAAAAACAGACCGAAAATTATCATTACATATAGAAACCGTATCTACCCAACTGGACTAAAAATTCTTACGGGGAAAGTAAAGTAAACGCTTTTATTCATACGACCTAATGTTTTCAAGATAACCTTTTGATATTTTCAATACATAATAACCAACGGAAAAAGAAAGACCACTACCTGTTCGAGTGCCATTTTACAATTTCTACCCACTAAACTTAGGTAAAACTATTATTGATGTTACCTACTTGCATTTAAAAGACGAGGACAATATTTTCAAATCATGAGTTTGTTTTCGGCTTTAACGCTAACAACGTGTGTGTGCTAACAACAATATTGTGCAGTAGTTTAATCGAAAATCTGAAAACAATTGTTTGTGATAATATGGATCATAGGAGCATCGTGTTACTTTTTGATCCAAAAGAATCTCAAGTAGTCAATGCAACAAAAGGACACGATACGATTCGAACGAAGATGCTCTGCATTACGGCATATCTCCACTGCACGCTTGGATGCGATTTTTTGAGTGTTTATTACATATTTCCTATAGGATGGAAATTAAAACGTGGAAGATCACGAAGGATTTAAAGGCCAAATATCTTGAACGGAAAAAACTCGTTACTCAAAAAATGTACGAAGCGTTCGGAGTACAAGTTGATCAACCCAGGGCAGGCGGAGCTGGGACCAGTACAACAGGAAATGTGTGTCGAAAAGCATTTTCAACTCCTGAATTACTTTCCAAAGTTTTGGATATCGACGAAGAGCTTATTATTAGATTTCGTAATATTTTAATAGTAATCAATTGCCAAGACCCGATCAATCCTAAAAAAATGGATGACTATTGTAAGGAAACATATCGGCGGTATCTTAATTTGTATGATTGGTATAAAGTTCAAATAAAGTTCCGACAGAACATTCAAGTTTCATGAAGTTCAAATAAAGTTCCGACAGAACTTTCAAGTTCCATAAAGTGCAAATAAAGTTCCGACAGAACTTTCAAATTCCATAAAGTTCAAATAAAGTTCCGACAGAACTTTCAAGTTCCATAAAGTTCAAATAAAGTTCCGACAGAACTTTCAAGCCACATGAAGCAATCCGCACAAATCTTTTTTTGTAACAAAATTTAATGTACGTAAATATGAAATAATCAGTGGCCCTAATAAATCATAATTCTTATATTTATGCAACATTCCATCAAAAAATAAATAAAAATTAATTTCCTGGATTCGAACCCGTGTATTCGGCATGTGATCTACGATTGCTAACCACTGCGCCATAAGTGTGATGGAATACCATGTGGGCAAACACCAATTTAAATTCATCAAGGAGTTGTGTTTCGTACTCAAGTCAGTCAGCAGGCTCAGAAAACTCCAACAATAGGCTGTCCCGCTCACTTTAATATATTTCAGATGACGTAGTGGTTCGTGCTGAGACTCTCACGCAGAAGGACTGGGTTCAATTCTTCAAACAGCTCCATTACTAATAAATCTATACACATTAATACCTGCCTTTAGAAATAACTTTCATAAAAGTGCGAACTAAATTATAGAATTGGTGTAGAGGACAAAACCTTTTTTAATTTATTTTCTAAAAGTTCCGTTCAAGCTCCGCCAGAGGCTGCTTAGAATGCTCTTCAATTATGGTACCGGAACTTTCAAGTTCTTATAACGACTTAAAAATGAGGCTGCTTAGAATTCTATAGACCACCTTCAACCAAGGTGCTTAAGCCATAAATAGCCTTTTATCAGAACTTTTGGTTACTTGGTCAGCGCCGTCTCCCGCCATGTGCTATGACCGTGAAGGTAATCTACTGACAGATAAAACGATGGTGGCTGCCAGGTGGAAGGAGTACTTCGAGACGTTGCTGAACGGAGAGAACGAGAGAGCATCTACAAACAGAACACACATCGACGACGATGGTCAAGCTGTGGAACCATCAACGCTAGAAGAGGTGAAAAAGGCGATACGAGAGCTGAAAAACAGTAAGACTGCGGGGAAGGACGAGCTCCCGGCCGAACTTCTCAAACACGGAAGTGAGCAGCTGCACCAGATGATCCACCGTATACTGCTCAAGATATGCGAGGAGGAAGAATTGCCCGCTAGTTGGTTGGATGGTCTCGTTTGTCTCCTCTACAAAAAGGGACACAGACTGGAGTGCGCCAATTACAGAGGAATCACGCTTCTGAATTCGGCGTACAAAATATTATCACGTGTTCCCTCGTCGGCAAATACCAGGCTGGTTTTCGTGAGGGTCGATCAACGACGGATCAAATGTTTACCCTGCGTCAAACCCTTGAGAAGTTACGGGAATACAACTTGCAGACTCATCATCTGTTCATAGATTTCAAGGCAGCGTACGATTCAGTAAAGAGAAACGAGCTATGGCATATAATGCAAGAAAACGGTGTTCCGACGAAACTAATTAGGCTGATTCGTGCAACGCTGGATGGTTCGAAATCATGTGTACGGGTTGCAGACGAGATTTCGGCCTCGTTCGTGACCATAGATGGGTTGAAGCAGGGAGATGCTCTTTCGAACTTGCTATTCAACATCGCCCTCGAAGGAGCGATTAGGAGAGCTGGCGTGCAGAGGAACGGTACCATCATCACAAGGTTGCACATGCTCCTTGGTTTTGCGGACGACATCGACATCATCGGAATCGACCGTAGAGCAGTGGAAGAGGCGTTCGCGCCTTTTAAGAGAGAGACAGCGAGGATTGGTCTCACGATAAATTCTACCAAAACGAAGTACATGGTCGCCGGTAGAAAGCATGGGAGCAATAGTGGTGTTGGTAGTGGAGTGGTGCTAGATGGCGAAAAATTTGAAGTTGTGGACGAATTTGTTTATCTTGGTACTTTAGTGACGTGCGATAATGATTTTACCCGCGAGGTGAAAAGGCGTATTGCAACCGCGAACAGGGCTTCTACGGGTTGCGTAGCCAGCTGAAGTCCCGCAGCTTGCGTACGAAAACGAAATTCGCGCTGTACAAGACGTTGATTTTGTCGGTAGCCCTTTATGGCCACGAATCGTGGGCATTGAAAGAGGCCGATCGGAGAGCTTTCGGTGTCTTCGAGCGTCAAGTACTGCGAACAATACTCGGCGGTAAACAGGAAAATGGCACCTGGCGGCGTCGCATGAATCACGAGTTGTACCAAGTATATAACGGCATGAATATTGTGGTGAAGCTTATAAAACACGGCAGGCTTCAGTGGGCTGGGCATGTAGCACGAATGCCGGAAGAGCGTCAAGCGAAGTCAATATTCAGCAGGGAACCCGGAAGAGGACGTTGGCTTCGGGGTAGGCCACGTACGCGTTGGTTTTGTGCAGTTGAGGAGGACATTGGGTCCTTGAACGTCCAAGGCGACTGGAAGCGATTGGCTCAGGACCGAGACCAATGGAGGCGGTTACTTCGTTCGGCGCAGATTTTAATTCAACGAGTCGTCGCCCATCAGATACTCAGGTACTCATCAAACGGAAAACTAATCCTCCTTTCAATTAAATCAATTTGATTACTGATTCTGCATTCATAATATTTAACTAATTACGGGCCTGGCGTAAATGGTTAGCATCCATGCTTCTTACGTTGAAAGACATGAGTTCAAATGTCACCCCGCACTAGTCACGAATGACCTAAAATTTGTTAAACAAATCAAATAAACAATAATCGTTAGCTCAACGAAAGATGAACTTAAATTAAATTTTAAACAAAACGTTAAAAGCAGAACTTCATATTAAGTTGCTTTCATTTAAAAAATCTTGACTGCATATTAAAAGCAAAATATGATATCAGACTTATGTAAAGACTATTGAAAACAAAATGAGTTTTTATTATGATAGGAACTGCAAACTTTACAACCGATTTGCCCACATTGGTCATATCCGGACATGTTCTATGTTCTAGGTACCTTCGCGCAAGCCAAAACCTAACTAAATCAAACTTTTTCATATTACACATCAAACCACATGGGAATTTAAAATACAAGAGTAGTTGCATAGCATTGTTGCAGAAGAAATTGACCATTAATCGAAAAACCTTAATTTATCCATCTATGGTGAGATTTGACCCTTCTTCCTTATTTAAATTCCGACAAAATTGCTTGGGAAGAAAAGTAAAATAATTGAATGATATGTGGGTCTGCGTCCGAATTTTCATGCTGATAGCAGATTTTGGGAGCACTCGAAACATACCAGGTGCAAATGATTGTGTTTATTGTAATTTTGATGTGATTTTAATTTATTTCCGATTCAGATTACTTTCTCGGTTCAACTCGGAGCTTGTGTGGCTAATCTACACTTGCAGACCAATACGCCGTTTGTTTTTTTTTTTCTAACGGGAATACTGTTGGTAGAGTGCAGATGGAAGACGAAACATGTAGGTGAGTAAACTGCAAATTGCTCCCATTGCCCACACCCCAAAAATCGGTAGACTACGGTGGAGACAGGTTGTTAGAGTGGCGAACTACACCCCGGTGAAAATGATTCACGAAAACGACCCATCCACAGACAGCGTGGGTAGCGACATGCAATACATGGACCGAAGGAAACGGAGAAGACTATGTATTAAATTCGTTTCAAAACCGTTCTGATTAATTGACAGGATGGATAAAGAAGTAATAAAACTGACGCACCGGATTATGTCCCCTGATGATATTGTAAGTGTGGACGGTCGATCTAATCCTAGCAATAGAACGTCGCCAGCAGGCTTGGATTACAGAAGCCTTTCTACCTAGGTATGCACTTCTTCAAACGGCCACGCATCTTCCTTAAGGCTTTTCTTTCGACACACAAACGCCAATTCTAACGATCTAGCAGTTGTTAATTTTTTATTCTACCTCCAAACATCGCTACCTTCCTCATTTAATCTTCCGCGTTTTCCTACGACTCTTTTTCCCCGGCGAATCATCGTCGTCATCGTCACCGTTAACACCGATTCCGCCTCTCGTCTTCGACTGTTGATCCCACTCGGCTTTCAGTTCCTGCAGCATCGCCGGAGTGAGTAATCCTTGTGCCAGCAATCGCTCGGTAAGCTTCCCTCGCGGTGAATTCTCCCGGTAGTACTTGCTCCGCTTCTGGCGCATCACGAACGAATCCTCGTCCGGAGTGTTGGTCGATACGGCCGTCTCCGAGTTCTTCAGTAGCTTCGTTATTTGGAACACACCCTGCTGGATGATGTCGTCCAGCTCCTTTTGGATATCGCGAACGAGTTTCTCGTCGGGGAACAAATCCGGGAAGCGATAGCTTAGCCAAAGGTACAGATCCAACACGTCGAATACGGCTTCCAGGTGGACTAGATCGATGATGGTTCGTGGCAGCTGGAATGGCCAACCGCATTGGTTGCAAAGCCAATCGAAGGTTACCGGTTCGTTTTTACTGTACCGTCTGGCGTACTTGAGGAACATAGAACACACGAACGGCATTTGACGGTTTATCGGAGCACAGCAAAATATGTACCGAGCGCGAAGCGGAAGCGGAACATGTTGGATAGTTTCAGCGAGGAACTTAAAGTCTTCCGTGTTGCACATAAAGTACAGGGAATCGTCAACGGTACTAAGGGAAACGAAAATCTCCATCAAGTTGCTGAGGGTGGCATTCGGGAGGTGATAAGCGTATAATTCGATCATATCCGCCGTTGGATGAAGACCAGCTTGGGTTAGCGGTTCCGGCGTTTGTCCGAGAATGTTTCTCAATGTGGGAAGATCTTCCGGTTTGTAAGATGTCACGTAGCCTTCGTCCCATTGCATACCATACCGACCAGCTCTACCGGCTATCTGCAAAGCTTGAGACACGGAAATAGTGTCCATTTCCTTCTCTCCCTTTTGATTTACGCTGGGCTTAATTATCGAGTAGAAAATAACTCTCCGTATGCTCAAATTCAAACCCATCCCGATGGCATCGGTAGCCACCAGCACTTTGCAACTATTGTCGGGATCGTTGAATTTCGCCGCTTGGGCCAACTTCGTTCCCGGCGGCAAGCCTCCATATATAACGGCGACTTCTCTACCTCGTGCTTCAATTTCTCTCGAAACCGCGTAAATATCGTTTTTGCTGAAACACACGATACAATCTCCCGGCCGAACATTATCCAATGTCTGAAGAGCTTGATCTTCTATATGCAAAGCCGTCAATCGTTTGTATTTTCGAACTTCCAGCGACTCATTAGTAGTTTCGCAAATCTTCTCAAGAAGATCCAACGTTCCTGGTTCACCGCACACGTGGATTTCCTCTGCCATAAGCCCCAGTAGAGCTCGAGTCCATGCCCATCCTCGACCGACATCCTTCAGCATTTGTATCTCGTCAATAACGGCGACTTCATCTACAACAACAAAGCCAAAAATAAAACTCATCCCCATCATCCATCTCCATAAATAGCATCCTTACAAGGCGTCGTAATTGACGTCATCTCCACCGTACAAGCGACGTGCTTCGAAGAATTCCCATTTGGGTCAGCAAACTTCCTCTCCTCTCCCGTTACTAAATCGCAGGCCGTTTCTCGTTGATTACTCTTGTTGAAAACTTCGCTGGCCAGCAGCTTCAACGGTCCACAATAAACCCCCGATTTGGCCGTCAAAAAACGTTCCATGGCGTGATACGTCTTGCCGGAATTGGTCGGCCCCGAATGGAATATAATCTTCCTGTTGATTCCCCTCGCACTTGGATACCAATTAGCAGGCTGTCTCAAATCCGAAATCTTCTTCAAATCGTCCATACATTCCAGGTGCGGGAAAATCTGCTTCACGTGCCGCAGAAAGTACGGAAAAATATCATCCACATGCCCGGCGCCTTGCAAAATATCGCTCAACACCACATGCAAATCCGCCGGCAGGGCATCCGTTTCCATGCAGTACCTCCTGAAGCTCGTGAAGGCTTGCTGCTGCAAGTGGGAATCGATCCCGTTCTCCAAGCACAAAAACTTTATCTCCTTCCGATTGCTGAACTTGAGAATCACTTTCAGCATCTCCGCTTTGTCCAGCGTGCCACCGGTGAGCTCTGCTCCTACGTTTATGTCATCCGGACTTGGCCGGATCGGAACCGGAGTGAACAAACGACCACTGTCATCTTTCTTACCGCGGGATGCTATCCAGATCGGAACGATAGTGCGGCCTTCAAGAAACCGGGGCGATCTCAGGAGCGCAATGCTTCGAATCGACAGGCGTTGGCTGAATTTTATCATTTTGTTTACAATCAAAGTCAGCACAACTTCATCACGGATGATCCACTATGTTAACAATGGTATATTTCACTGTATTGAACTACTTTTGATAGATTGCGACGGATTAAAAATCGCGAAATTCGATTCGATTCAGTTGCATGATTTGCTTGGTGCTCTCGTTTGTTTTGATTACGTTTGAGCTTTGAGCCGCACGTGCTCTGACCTTCGAAAATGTCATAAATATTGCCCTTCAGAAACATTGCACTCGAACGAATCGTATTGGGCGATCTGGAACGAGAGCCTGACACCGATAAAAATAGTATGGTATCACGTGCCATTGAAATGTGTTTAATTATACCATGACAGCTCATAGTAACATCAACCGATGTTTCTTTCAATTCTTTAATGTTTGTACCTTAATTAATTTGCTCCCCCATAGAATTTCATGCAGTAGTGTTAATAACATTCATGGTTAAAAATAATTCAAATTTAATATGTTACCTTGTGAATATGGTAACAGCAACAGAAATGCTGTTTGGTTGGATAACAAAACGATTACTATTTCACTGCTAACCGTGGTAACGACAGAATATTGCATGATCGCCATTTTGTTAAAAAAAAAAGAAAACCTTCAACATAGCGGGTACATTCAGGTTGCAGATAAAATTGGCTAAAGTTGAACTTCTGAATCATTCTTGGAATCATTGCTGTTGTAGAAGTAAACTCATTAACGGTAAACAATTTTGACGTAGGACTACGTCTTTGATTTCTATATGGGGGTACACTTTGTGAAAACCGAAAATGGAACATGTAACAAATTAAGAAAGATTTTGAACGTTAATAACTCAGCTGCCCCTGGTCCAATTTCAATAATTTTATCACCAATCGATCAGAAATATGGCTACGCATTGATAAAAATGCTTTCAAATGTTGATTTTCAACAAGAAACTATTGAAAAACTGGTAAATGTTCAGCATTGTCCAAAAGCGTTGAATTAACTAACAAATCCACCAATTACCTACATGCATATGCTGCTTCCCCAGCACAGTCGTCAGAGAGTAGTAAGTAGACGAAACAAGTCGAAGTGGCATTCGCCTCCGATCCTCGGGCGCGTGCGAATAGGGAGGATGGAATTGCGTAATACTTTACACACTCATCGCCATGTTCAGAACCAAACGCAAATTCTTCGAGATAACCACCATCCGTCGTCTGGCTCGCCGTGGCGGTGTCTGACGTATCTCCGGTTTGATTTACGAGGTGTGCTGAAGGTGTTCCTGAAAAATGAGATCCGTGATGCTGTCACCTACACTAAACACGCCAAGCGTAAGCGGCCATGGATGTCATCTACGTTTTTGAAGTGACAGAGACGCACTCTGTTTGGTTTCGGAGGTTAAATCATCACCAACATTGGAAACAAAACGGCTCTTTTCAGGGCCACCAAGCTTATTACAGAAAAGAGTAGGAATAGAATTCATCTGCCTGTTTGTCCATATTCAGAACCACCGACCACACAAAATGCTCATGTAATCAAACTGGAAGCAGGGATACAAATTATTTTGATCAACCTTGATCAACTTTGAATCGCCACGGCCGGATATTTTCGATGGAAGAAGCAACAATCTAGCATCTAATTCGACGAAGACGTCAGGAAACATTTCTGGATCAACAATAGAATAGGGCCCATCAGCATTTGTAAACAAACCGTTCCAAAGCCTCACAAATCGAAGGCAGCTCACACAAACCAACACCAACATCTTGTAGGTAGAAGTTTCCCCTATCCGATGATGGTGTTGGTTTGTGTGGGTGGCCTTCGCTTTGTGAGTAAAGGGCTTTGGAACGGTTTGTTTACAAATGCTGATGGGTCTTTTCTATTGTTGATCCAGATTTGTGAAGCCGAGTTATTTACGAAAGAGAGTGTCGATGAAGAGAATCGATCAATGTAGATAGGACCTATTGAAAAGTGACGCGAGATTTGTTTTCCGTACTGAGCTCCAATTCTACCGACGCCAGGGAGGCAGCTCCCAGAGATGTTATGCCTTAGAACATGCCGATGGCGCCGACTGAGACCCAGGCCTGCTGGGGTGAGAGGTAATCACGCTAACCACAGACGCCGATATCTATCACGGCGAATGAGAACGACCCAAATTTGAGTTTAGTTATCTCAGAAATAAGAAATAAAGTGCAGGAACCCAGCGATGAGTAAATTTGCCTCATGTTTTCCCAGATTTTTCCAGGATTTTCCAGGGAAAAATTCCCGAATTTGAGAAAAGTAAAGATTGGATTCACTCAGTCTATTGGCACTACTCCGAGACTGAATAAAATTTTTGTCAATCTCCTCATTTTCTGGCAGATTTTTAAGGTTTTCCACACGAAATCATGAGACAAATTTACTCATCGCTGAGTTCCTACACTTTTGGCGATTATGAGTGAACTAAACTCAAATTTGGGTCGTTCTCATTCGCCGTGTACGCAAAAAGAAAATAGCCAGTGTCGCTACTTGATAGCAAACTACTCATAATGGGAGGAGTCTTTGTAGCTTTTATACCACTTGGTTGCACATCATTCTGCTTTAACCTAAAAAATATAAAGTAGCGCTGCTGTCTGGTATCAGCTCATTTTCGCTTCGGACGGCGTGGTCAGCAATAGCAGCAGTAGGTCGTGGCTGATCGTGGCAAAGGAGGTGCCAATCGTCATCGCAAATTCTTTGAGGTAACCACCATCCGTCGTCTGGCTCGCCGTGGCAGTGTCTGACGTATCTCCGGTCTGATCTACGAGGTGTGCTGAAGGTGTTCGTGGAAAATTAGGTCCGTGATGCTGTCACCTACTCTAAACACGCCAAACGTAAGTGCCATGGATGTCCTCTTCAATAAAACGGCCCTTTTCAGGGCCATCAAGCTTACATCAGTAAAGAGTTGGAATAGAATTTATCTGTGCTTGTTTGTCCATATTCAGAACCACAAGCCCCCAACGACCACACAAACTTGGAAGCAGGGGTGCAAGTGATTTTGATTGATTCTCGTAATCAACTTTCTTTTTGAAAAAGATTACTACAAATTTGGATCGCCTACAATTCAAAAACGGAAAGAGTTGAGATAATAGATATTTCAGGCATAACATTTGATAACGGCACAAAAGCATTTATAAACAAACCTTCTAAGGCCCTTTACACGCGAACCAAAGTACGCCCACGCAAACCAACAACATCATCGCATAGGGGCAACTATCACCTTTCCGAAAGTGGTATTGGTTTGCGTGGGCGTACTTTAGTTCGCGTGTAAAGGGCCGTTTGAGTGTTTGTTTACAAATGCTTTTGTGCCGTTATCAAATGTTATGCCTGATTTGATCAATTAAAAGAACTTAATGCTCTTCACATTAATTCCGTCCACTAGCGGTCCTACGTCAAGCTTCCGTTCGTGCCCCTAGGCACAGACCCTTCTACTTTTAATTCAATTATCTCGATCAGGAGTTAGATCCATTTGTTTATGCTAATTGGTAAGCAGTTAAAATTATTTCGTATATAATTTTTACCATTAGATTTTTGACAAGCTTTGAACCATATAGAATAACGGACATAAACATGCTGACCGACACCGCCTTCCTGCAATCCTGCTAAGTCTTTGCCGAGGTCTCCGGATCAAACCACCACCATTGCTCAACCAGGACCATTCAGTGTTTTTGTTGTGCTGAGTATTTCAAAATAAATAAATGATACATATATTCTAAATTAACCACTTTATTCAAGCAATTAAAATTACGTTTACTACCACTCAAACTTTGAAATAAAACATTATTTTGAGATTTTTTCCTCTAGAACCTCAAGAAAAGTCGAGGGGGACGACTCTATCTACGCTGCAGGAAAGATTGTGTTGTGTTGTTGCTAGCTGTTCGCACGCTGAGTAGATAGAAAGAAGATTGATGACGATTTTGAAGATTTCCTGCAAAAAGATGATGCGCGATGCAAGTAGATGCGAGAAAGATTTTTCGAAGATTGATTCGCTAGTGTGAGATTTTTTGAGTATCTAAAATTGAGATTTAGATGTGTCACCCCCCTCGAGAAAAGTAGCCAACATTTGTGCGTTTCATTAAAAAATATAAATTATTTGGTCCAGTTTTGTGAAACCACTGCTAGAAAGTCACGCCAAAACTGCTTGACAAAGTGGTCAATTACTTTTTATAATTTTTTTTCTGAGATTTCAATTAAATAGAAGTTTTCATAAATGATGAAATTTTTTATTTGATTGGAATCTAGAAAGAGGTCAAAAATCTCAAATCAATGCAATTTTACTTTCGCAGTAGAAATTTCTACATAAATATGGTTAACAATACTTTTCTCGATAGTACACTGAGAAAATTGCTCATATTTAGATTATGTGCCACACACATAAATTTTTGCAATGTGATGTCACAAATAATATTTTTGTGTGAGACACATAATTAGTGTCATTAGCCATTGAATAAGTTTTATGTGTGGTCATACATGAAAATTATAGCTATAGCTGAATACACTTTAATACCAAAATGCACAAAACTTAAAAATTCATAAATAACAAAAAATTCAAAATACACCTTTTAAAGTCGGGTAGATGAATCGAAATTACTCAAGTTGAATCGAAAATACTCAGTCCCTTGAATTCTCTTCATCAACTTTCTCTTTGAAATAAATACTACAAATTTGATACGCTTACAAACAAAAAACGGAAAGAGTTAAGATATTTGATGATTGATCAATAAAAAGAACTAAATGTTCACATTTGTTCCGTCTACTAGCGGTCCTACGTCAAGCTTCCGTTCATGCCCCTAGGCACAGACCCTTCTACTTTTTTTGATTTAATTTATCTTTGAGTGTATACTATTGAGTACACGGTAACCAGCGTAAACACATTAATCAGTAAAAAAAATGCACATTTTATATGTATCTTTTGCAGCTGTCAAAAATATGTAAATTAGGAGATCTTAAAATGTGGGAAAAAACACTCATTTTTAGAAGGTTGTACCAGTCAAAAACTGTGTATTTTTATACTCATTAATGGGTATAAAAAACTTCAAACTTTTCTGCATCCTGCTTCGTTGACGCACGGCATTTTTATAGCTAAGCGGTGATTAATAACATAAAAATGGAGGAGCTAAGGTCTAAACTGGACAGTGCAACGATGAAAAAGCTGGAGGGTAGGTGATTTATGTTATGTTCATAGCTAAGTTTAAGAAGAACTTTTTTTTTATCATAATTAAGGTTTTCATTGTCCGGTGTCTGGCTGCGACGAGGCTGCGATCAGTTCCGTGACAATCTTTTTTTTTCCTTGATTTGTTTTCCGTCGATCTTGTTTTCCATGCTGAGCACCAATGCTACACACAAAAAACGAAAATTGTATCAGTAAAAATATTAACCTTTCAATTTAAAAGTACCCCAAAATTTGTTACTTGAACTATGAAAATATTTGAAACAACAAGGTTATTTTCAATCCAAAAGTAGATGCTTTGATTTTAACTTGTAGTTTTAAAAGTGCAGATTTTCAAATCAAAAATTGTTTTACTGTCAAAACAACTTCTTCGGAGGTAGGTTTCTACTCATTTCTGGTTAGTTTTTAAATAACGTGAGTAAATAAAAATAAAAACGCGCAAAACGAGAATTGAAAAGTTTGCTTTATTAATTTCTATTCGACCAGTTTTTAAAACAAATCCCTGCTGCATTCACCGGATCATCCGTGAGCTAGACCGGCTGAAAATATAAATAAAATACGGCGATACCACAGGATCAACACGGTAAGTATATCTACGATAATGCCTTGTTCAGACCAGAGAGTTTTTTACGATAATAGAATCGCTTTCTTTTCGGAAATTTCAGCATCAGTCAAAAGTAAGATCATCGTTCCGGATTGGGTCACACCGGACTCTGAGCCAGATGGCTGAAACGGTAGCACCACAGTTTAAGGTTGAAGCAGGGGGAGTGGATTGCATGGACGGCTCAACAGATGCTGACAAGGATGGCGGACAATTCCACAATTCAATATTTTTTTTTTTTTTTAGTTTTACATTTAAAAAATATATATACGTAAAAATCAAAACAATGAACTTTATGTTTAAAAATAAATAAAATTTTATTTGATTAACTACGCTCTCATTTTGAAATAAGATAAAATTTATTTTGACCTAACCTACTCTTAATTTGACAGTTCTACAATTTCATTTCAAAAGTAGAAACTTTTAATTTGACAGTTCTACAATTTCATTTCAAAAGTAGAAACTGTTAATCAAAGGATTCAGCATTTTTATTTTAACTGTTCATGTCTTTTGCAATTGAAAGTTTCTGACTTTCTACCAAAAAGAACCAATGCAAACTTTTAATTATACCAACGGTTTTTTTTAATTCTGTTAACGTTTATTTTTTGTGTGTACCGACGTCAGGAAGGCAGCTCCCACACCTGGACCCTACCTATCGAACCATCAACTCATGAACCGGGAACCAACGGGTTTACTCCCCAGTATTGAAGATATTATTAAAGATATATAACCCGCATAAACGCGAACCATAAATTGACCTTACCTAAAATGGTTAAAAATTATTTATAATCCCTGCTAAACTTTAACTGAAATGGTTATGGAACTTTACATGAACGTTTAATGATAAAGTTTCAACCTTATGTATTATGGTTTTTTGGAACTGGACCTTACAAATAATGGGTTGTTAAGAACCATTACCATTCCAAATTCTTGTTTTCTCCATACATTTTCAGAAAGAGAACTATATAAGAACGTGTTTACTTATGATTTGAGAACATTAATGGTAATGGTTATGGTAGTCAGTAAGGTCCATTAATGGTTTTGTATTATCGCTCAACTTTACGTGGAATACATCGTGAATTGGTAATCAGTAAATTACAGGCAACCAATTCGCGATATATTCCACATAAAGTTGATCGATGTTACAAAACCATTCGTGGACCTTACTGACTACCATAACCATTACCATTAAAGTTCTAAAACCATAAGTTAAAAGGTTCTAATATAGTTCTCTTTCGGAAAATGTATGGAGAAAACAAGAATTTGGAACGGTAATGGTTCTTAACAACCCATTACTTGTAAGGTCCAGTTCCAAAAAACCATAATACATAAGGTTGAAACTTTATCATTAAACGTTCATGTAAAGTTCCATAACCATTTCAGTTAAAGTTTAGCAGGGATTATAAACAATTTTTAACCATTTTAGGTAAGGTCAATTTATGGTTCGCGTTTATGCGGGAATCCAATCAAAAATTATAAAAATAGAATCAAAAATTATTAAAATTTATTCAAAAAAGATTATCTTCAACCTAATCAACCATGATTAAGCTGAGATTAATATCAAATGCTTAGTTTTTAGAAAGAGAGTATTAATTTTTAATCTTTCGAAATGATTAAACTGAGTTTAATGTCAAATTGATTAAATTTCAAGCAAAATGGGAATAGTTTAATTTATCAGTGTAGTGGTTACAAAATGGGACTGTTTTCAGTGTATTGCTTTATATGTGCCCTTCAGAATTGTTCTTATCTTAGGATCGTATTCTTGGCCGATGAGGCAGGGTGGACAAAGTTGGTAAACAATCAGTTTGACAGTTCTATATTCATCAGCCATCAGAAAGAAAAGTTTTGCTTTTATTTACGTACATTTTTGAGTGTGAATCATCGGAATTTCGGAAAAAAAAGATAGTTCCCATCGCAATTTGGGAACTACTAACGAGTAAAATTGTTAAGTTTGTTTGAGTGAGCTCTAGTTAAAGAAAACAAAAGATCCCGTAAGTTTAGAATATGGGTCTTTTCGGAAAGTCCCAGGAACGGAATCCCAAGGAAATGGTAAGCTGCTAATGTGGAGTGGATCGATTCAGCAATTAACCTTGAGGCTAATTTTAATATGATTTTCAGGTTCAAGAATGGTCATCAAAATTAAGGAAGGAGTCCTATGCTCTGGACCGGCAGATCCGATCGATCCAGCGAGAGGAGGATAAAATTAAGCGATCATTGAAGGAAGCTGCTAAAAAGAACGACAAGGAAGTGTGTACGATTTTGGCCAAGGAAATTTTACGATCCAGGAAGGCGGTCAACAAGATGTATACCAGTAAGGCACACATCAATTCGGTGCAGTTGCAGATGAAGAACCAGCTGGCAACGGTGCGGGTAGCTGGTTCGTTAGCCAAGTCTACCGAGGTAATGCAAGCCATGCAGTCGCTGGTGAAACTTCCGGAAGTGGCCGCTTCGATGCGGGAGATGTCCAAGGAAATGATGAAGGCCGGCATCATAGAAGAGATGATCGATGAGACGATGGAATCGCTGGAGGACGTTGACGAGATGGAGGAAGAAGCGCAGAAGGAAATCGATAAGGTGCTATGGGAGATCACGGCCGGAAAGCTGGGCGAAGCTCCGTCGGCACCGATGGCTGCACCGACGAAGGAAAGCGAAGGGGAAGCTTCCGGTGTGTCGGCGGTGGAAGCCGAAGACGACGAGGAAGACATGAAGGACATGCAGAGCCGGTTGCAGGCGCTGCGGTCGTAATCCACTGTGGCTTGAGTTACGTTATTTTTTTTATTTCTTAGATAAACCGATATGCCCGCTCTAAATACCAGCAAATAGGACCGTTTTGCTAGGGGTCATGCTTTTCCATTTCGTACCCTGCGCGCTTTGTTCGGTTTGTACATATTTTCACGTTAGTGAATGTAAAAGCGGGTAACAGTAGAGTTGCGTCCGTCGAGCAGCGTATTCGAGAAACGGCAAAATTGGGGGGAATGTTAAGTAATCGAATGTTATGTTCAGTGAAAATGTATTAAAATCATAAAACATACAACACATGCTAGTGCACTAAAATATATTTGAACACTAGGCTCCGTACTGGATTGATGGTTGTGAAATGTCCCTTACACCCAATAAATGCAAACAATTTAGTTTACTTCCAAGAAAGCAAATATATTTGGCTTCTCTTTTATTTTAGTCATTAGATTTTCGTCAGCTACTGACTGACTTCGACTGATTCGAATTGATAATTTTGCAAGTGTATTTTCAGTTAAACAATGGAATTCGTTAATTTTGCAAACACTTGCAAAAAGGTTTCTAAACTAAACCTATTTTTTAAGTAAAAGGATTTTTCATATTCGTGATCAGGTCATGCTTAAGCTAAAAATTATATAAAAAAAAGAAATCACATCGTTGTTGAAATGATTGAATTAAGCAACTACTAAGTTGAGTTAGACGTACTCGTACCATTCTCGTACGGTCGTTGTCTCTGTGAATGCGTAGAACTAAAAACAGGTCGGCTAGTCTGGGAGACAACAGGAGTACCAGGTGCGTTACTCGTCCCGATAGTTAAATGGTTAGTACTCGGAATTCAACTTACTAGAAATGACATTAGAGTCTAATGTAGTTCTGTTAGTGTTTGGACTGAAATGATCTTCCTAAGGTGATGGTACTATTACTGGTTTCAAAGGCCCCAAATCCCACAATCTATACAAGCTACTACTTAGGTCCCTCACACATTTTTCTACCCTAGTGCGTTGCAGCGGTTTTTCGCTTTATCACATTCTCAATTCCGTTCACGTTAAGCTTGCTCTTGCCAGCCATGTCAACGTTGTTATTGCTCTGCATCATCAGCAGTTCCTCGTCCTCCTTCAGGATGGATGGCTCCTGCTGGCGCTGCTGATCCTTGATATACTGGGACAGCCTGTTGTAGATTTTGTTCGCTTCAGTCTTCTGGGTTTCCTCTTCCCGCTGGCAACGAAGTAGTTCCTCGGCCTCGCGCTGTAGAACATCGTCATCCATTTCCGACTTCTTCAGCTCGTCCTCGATCAGAGCATAGCCATCGCTCTGGATGATCTTCGGCTTCGGCGTGTAGATCGAGTTGAATGTCGGGTTCGTTGGATGGCGCCAGATGCCAAACAGCGTGGTGAAAGCATTGCGGCCATCTTCCGTTCCGTAGGTGTGGTGGGATTTGTCACCGGTGCGAAGGACACGATTTTTTACCTAAAACGAAACGGTCAATTTAATGCGTTGCAATCTAGCTAAAATCTTGATCAGTGATCGAAATTGAAATAATCTCACCATGTTGTTGGTGGCTGTTTTCCGATCCCAGATGTGACCGTACTTGGCAAGCAAATCGATCAGCGTTCCGGTCAGATTCAGCGGGGTTCCGTACTCGGAGGCGCGGTAGTCCCACGGGAAGGCATGATGGTAGTTGTGCCAACCTTCGCCCATAGCCACAAAGGATACGAACATGTTCTCCACGGGCCAGATGGTCCTAGGAAATAGCAGTAAGTTAGATCAAAATGCTTTGTACATCTATCAGATTGGTGCTTACTTGTCGTAGGGACGGGTTCCGAACATGTGAGCGGCGCTGTTGACGGACCAGGTACCATTCAAGCTAATCACGGTACGGAAGAAGAAGGCAACGAACAGAGCATACCAGGGATCTTCGCCCCAGAAGATGATCGGGATGGACGTAGGAGCGAACAAGGCAAAGATGGTGTAGAGTAGTTTGTAGTTGCTGAAACAGAAAAAGTGGATGATGTGAAAATTATTAAAGCTTTGAACAGCTTAGGTTGGGTAACACAATTTTGCGTCAAAATAAAGAAACCCTTTCCCGCCCGGAAACTGTTCGTTGTTGCAATAAATAGAATAAAAGATATTTCTTACATCCTGAATTTATCGAATTCATTAGAAAAGTGTTTGTTTAAGGTTCAATTTACTTTGATGCTTTTTGGAAAATTTCAAAAGCAGTTTTTTCCGACGCATTATTTCAGATTGCAAAAAGCTCGCACTATTCGATTCCTTTTGATATTTTACACAAACTGACGCGAGCTTTTTGCAATCTAAAATAATGCGTCGAAAAAAACTGCTTTTTATTTTTAAAAAAATGCATCAAAGTAAATAGATTCCTTGTAGAGTCCGCAAATGGCCGCCGTAGACTACACGGTAAAAAAAAAAATACTCAAAATTAAGTAAAAAAAAACTCAACGTTGGGTTCTATCCAGGGGGCTGGCAACCCTATATCAATCCTATACGTTTGACAGTAGGCAACATCACGGGCCTTATTTAAATACGGCCCACCTGACGTATACATGGTGGAAAGGGACGGAAAATCGTGTTATAAGAAGAAAGACAAGAACAGATGATAGCATCAAAAACATGGCCTCTAGCCAGGCCCCTGGTTCTATCATTTGAGGTCCACCGTTGAGTGAATCAGAAAAGTGGCGTTGGTTAAAATTTACTCAACTATTGAGTAATAATAAATGAACTCAAATATAAGTTTATTTTCATTGAGGTTGCTCTTATGCGCCTTTAAACATTTCATTTTCACAAGCGTTGATAGACGAGTGGTCATCACACGGGCCCCGTAATCTCAACGTCCATGGTTCGGTTCCAGTCTGCTCCGTCTTATTATTTTTTTGTCAACTTGGTCAACGTGGATTCATGATCAGGATTACTCAAAATTGAGTTTTCCTCTTTAACTTAATTTTACCTAGCCCCACGGAAGCCACGTGATGAGTGAAAGGAACTCAATTTTGGGTACTTTTTCTTACCGTGCACGCAGTAAGGATTCGTGGCTTCTATTTCTGCAACAATCTTTGTAAATAAGTTTCGGGACATTCGACACCGCCGCCGAAACTGTGTATCGCTATACGGAGGATTTTTGAAGAAATAATCCTAAAACAGTCGCTCAGCTCCTACATGAGCTGTCAACTAATAGATTTCGCTCATTCTTTGCTCGACTGTCGTGCTGTTCAGTCCGTATTTTCGCTCGAGTTCTCGATTCGATTTTGTTTCGTTTTGTGCTGTCGCGTTGCGCCGTGGAATTGTCGCCACCTTCTCGCGTTCTGGCAAGTTTAATTGAACTTGCAAACACGAAACAGATGGTGCGTAAACGTGCCAATGAGCCAGCAGCGGGCCCTTCAAAGAAGGTGATAATCAAGCCCAGCGCGTCACAGGATGACACCGGAAAACGAGTACTGCAAGCCAACCAGTATGCAGTACTCCCGGAAGAAAATGGCGATGGTGACGCCGTTTCCATTGCAAGACGAGAGCGGATTCCCCCGCTTTTCACGCCAGTGAAGGATGCTGCCAAGTTGGGTGCCGAACTGGCAAAACACAAGCTGCTGCCTCGCTTCAAGCTTTGCAGTATCGGTACCAAAATCATGTGGTCCAGCCTGGAGGAGTACAAACAAATAGGAAGTTTCCTGAAGAACAACAACGTGGACTTCTTCACGCATGATCTGCCATCGAGCAAGCCACTGAAGGTGGTTTTGCGTGGATTACCGTCGTTCGAGGCTGCTGCGGTGAAGTCCGAGCTGGAGCGGCTTGGGCTCCAACCTGAGGCCGTATTCCAGATGAACCGGCGTCCCAACCAAAACACCAGTTTCCGTGATCAGTTGTTCCTGGTGCATTTCACGAAGGGATCCACCAGTCTTGCGGCTTTGAGATCCAAAATCCGGGACCTGTTTCAGGTCATCATCAGTTGGGAGCATTACAAACCCCAACATCGTGATGTAACGCAGTGTATGAACTGCCTCTCATATGGTCATGGCACCAAAAACTGCCACATGAAGACAAACTGCGGCAAGTGAGCTGGAACTCACTCAACTGCGTCCTGTGAGCAAGTCGATGACATCGAGCCAACGTGTGTCAACTGCGGTGAAAACCACCAAACCTCCAATCGTGGATGTCTCAAGCGAGTGGAGTTCATTAATATCCGTCGGAAGGCCACAATCAACAACCAGCTCGGTCGCCTTCGTAATCATCGTTCGCCTCCTGTACTAACGGAAGTCTAGTACCCAGCTCTCCAGCCCCGTCGACATGTTCCGAACCTAGCCCCGCTTCCGCTAAACAACCAACAAGCTAATCCTGCGAGTATCGAAATGGTTCCCAACAGTCGGACAGTTCAGCATCGTCTCGCTGTTGCTGCGGCCCAACCAATTCCAAGTTCGTCCACCGCCCTTGGTTTATCATACGCTGGTGCTGTCTCAGGTGAATCTGTCGACGATTCTCCGTTCACCTCGGAGGGACTTGTGACGCTCGTGGCCTAGGTCATCATCATCATGCTGCTTCATGCTGCCTTGTCACTCGTCACCAAGTATGGACTATAAAGCTATAAAAATTGCAAATTGGAACGCTTGCTCACTGACGAACAAGCATAGAGAGCTACTCGATTTCCTCAACACCAAGGAGGTCGATATTGCTATCATCACCGAGACGCATTTGAAGCCCGAACTGAACATATTCCTTCCCGACTTTTGGCTCGTCAGACTTGATCGCACCTGCTCTGGAGGTGGAGGAGTGGCCATCGCTGCAAGACGGAACATCAGTTGCCGGCTGCTACCAAACTTCCAGCTGAAAACAATTGAAGCCATCGGAGTGAAGGTGAGCACATCACTTGGCCCAATCACCATCATCGCGGCCTACTGCCCCAAGCAAACCAACATCAGGGACGGGTCGTCAGTGGCCCTCCGCAAATACATCATCAAACTCACCCGGAGGAGCGGGAACTTTATCATCGCTGGCGATCTGAACGCAAAACACCAAGCTTGGGGCAACGGTCGGAGCAATAGAAACGGCATCATCCTCAATGAAGACCTGCAAGAGGGCCACTATACCATCCTGGCCCTGGACTCTCCCACCCGGTTGAGTCGGTCTGGGGTCCATGCGACCATCGACATCTTCGTAAGCAACATGGGACACAACGTCTCGCAACCTGTGGCATTCCAGGAGCTGAGCTCGGACCACTACCCGGTGGTGGCCGAAGTTGGATCCTCGGTAAACCGATTCGAAGCTTCCCGGCGCAACTACCATCGAGTCAACTTGGTGCAATATCAACACTGCGTCAACACAACCATCGACTACGATGTCCAACCGGGGACGTCGGAAGATGTTGACCGGTGTCTACAAACCATCGAGGAGGCAATTTCCCGGGCCAGGGAACAACACGTGCCAGTATCCAGACAGGTGAGTAACACTCTGAACCTTGACAGCCCTACCAAAGATCTCATTAGACTCCGTAACACCATTCGTAGGCAGTACTAGCGTACTGGCCTGCCTAACTTGAAGACCAATTGTAATCGATTAACAAAGATCATTCAGGCCAGGATGGTGGATCTCAGAAATAACGATTTTGCTAGCAAGATCCGCTCTCTCCAATATTGTGCTAAGCCCTTCTGGAAACTTACAAAAATTCTTAAAAACAAGCCTAGGCCCATTCCCCCACTGACAACACTGGATCGTCCCGGCGACCCAGTGGTTCATCTGATAACTCCTGAAGAGAAGGCTGCCGCGATAGGTCAACACTTCGTCAGCTCCCATAATCTCGGACAAAACATCGTCAGCCCTCATGAATCTGAGGTTGCTGAAAATGCAACCAATCTTCTTCAGATTCCTAACATTTTTCCAGAGGAATCCGAGATTACGGCTGACAAACTGTTGGCCTATATCAATTCATCTAAAAACATGAAGGCCCCAGGTTTCGACAACATCCTGAATCTGGAACTCAAACACTTGAGTTCCAGATTCTACAACCATCTGGCACTGATTTTTAATCAGTGCCTCAGACTTGGCTACTTCCCCTCGTGTTGGAAGTCAGCTAAAGTCATACCCATCAGGAAACCTGGGAAGGATCCGTCCTCTCCTTCAAGTTATCGACCAATCAGCCTTCTCTCAGGGTTATCAAAACTGTTCGAAAGAGCACTGTACCACCGGCTCCTAACATCTGCCGATGAAAACAACTTGTTACTCGAGGAACAATTTGGTTTTCGGAAAGGTCGTTCGACCGTCAACCAGATTACTCGAGTAACAAACATTCTCAGACGGAACAAGTCTGTTTCGAAAACATCTGCCATGGCGTTGATGGACGTTGAAAAAGCGTTCGACAATGTCTGGCATGATGGCCTGGTGTTCAAATTGCAGCAGTACGGTCTTCCAATCTTCCTAGTGAAGATCATAAACAACTATCTATCAGACAGGACGTTCCGAGTCTCTCTGAATGGCATCTCATTAGATGCTTTCAACATCGGTGCCGGGGTTCCACAAGGAAGCATCCTTGGCCCCATCCTATTCAACCTGTTCACCTCCGATATGCCGGCTCTCCCTGATGGTGGATCGTTGTCTCTGTTCGCAGATGACACGTCCATCGTCTACAAGGGTAGGGTCATCGGAGCTCTGACTGCCAAACTTCAGAGAGGCCTAGACGTCCTGTCTGAATATTTAAACAGCTGGAAGATCCGTATCAACGCGGCAAAGACCCAGGTCATTATATTTCCACACTCTAAATCTCCTAGACTTGTTCCGTTGGAGAATAACAAGATCTGCCTGAACGGCACAGTGGTGGAATGGTCCAAAGAGGTCGTGTACCTCGGGCTAACATTAGACAGCAAGCTTCTTTTCAGGGAGCACGTTGACAAAACAAAAACCAAGTGCAACATCTTGATAAGATCGTTGTATCCACTTATCAACAGGAAGTCAACCCTGTCCCTGAAAAATAAGCTTGCTGTCTACAAACAA